AATGTAATGATACATTGCCAAAATTCATATTAATCTCTTTCAGATAAACCTGAATGCATTTTTAACATCACTCACTAGACACTCACTTTGAAAGCGTTGTGAAACGTTCAAGAACTAACATAATATCATTTGCAGCAATGTGCCTGGGTTGATGCTGTCCTAGAAAACCTTAGTTTACATGTCAGACACATGATCTTTTAGCAAAAGAATGCCATTTTAAGAATTTGTTTAAAAATTTTCATATTTCATATGAAGTAAATTGTAGCATTTATAGACGTGCTACAAAATGAATATAGTCACTCTGCAGCATGGTCATAATATGACAGAACTTCTCATACTCCGTTTGAATACACCTTTATACAACGTTAATGTTTCACAAACAGGACAACATTAATTGAAAAAAAAAATACTGTTTTAACTGTGAAACCACAACAACAATAACACCATCCTTGTGCTAGAGCTGGTGAAATGAAGACATGCGCTTGAATCAGTATTTTGAGTTTTAGTAAACGAGCAGCATGGATAAATACAATGCTTCTTCACAAGCCCAGTCCAGCTCACTGTGTTTCATGTCTGGAGAGGCATGAGAATTCAACGACCTCCCAGTTCTTCATCGCACACTGATGTGTTATTGCAGGCAGGGCCGAGAGGGGGTATAATGCAGAAAAACACACTTCATTTCCATCCTCTCAGATTTCCTACACCTCTTTTATTGATCAGCTGAGAGAATGCAACCCTGGATCACTCCAGAACCCTGACACAGCCAGTTGACATGATCCAATTGAGATGGAAATAAGAACAGATACAGCTTCCAAAGTTTGATGTTTTGATGCCTTAGGCAACAACTGATACCTACAGATAGACTAGGGTAGGATTCCCAACATAGATAGCAAATGTGATCATAAGATCATAAATCATACATTATGCATTTGCTGTTAAATAATAAACACTGCAGCCCAGTTTGGTTGCAAATAATGTATCATATGCATGATAGATAGATAGATAGATAGATAGATAGATAGATAGATAGATAGATAGATAGATAGATAGATAGATAGATAGATAGATAGATAGATAGATAGATAGATAGATAGATGATGGATGGATGGATGGATACAAGGTTATTTTCGTAAACAAAAACTAAAACTAAGACGAAAGCGATTGATGAAAAAAAAACAATTTCATAAATTGAAATAAAATAAAAATGACAAAATAATTGAAAAACTAAAACGAAACTAACTGTTTTCATAATCATTACATTCTCAACCCTTGGCGGAAAAATATATGAGCTGTGTAGCAGTTTAGGGAAATACCTGTTAATGGTGCATCACACACATGGGGCTATCTGATGGAGAGATGCAAAGCAGTTTAAAGCAGAGTCCTTCACGTGTCCTGTTTCATAAACGCACACCAGCAGTACTTAACAGAACACTTGACCCGTTATCCAACAGCAGCACTAATTTAATTCTGTACCAGACCAGAACCGTTTGACATAATAAAGACGGTGAGTAGCGACCCGAACCGCACCCGCATTAAATCTATTACATCAGGTAGGCAAAATTATTTATTTTCTCATGTAACACAAGCAATCAAACATTAGGCATTCTAAGTTGGTGCTTTGAAGAAAAACAGACTCGCAGCGCAACGTGATAATTAACAGAAAAAAAGATGAGAACACGCATGCTTTCTGTAAACAATACAAAACTTTAGCCTAGCATCTTGTGATCACTCTTGTGATCACTTTCGGACAAATGTGCATAGGCTAAATCACATCATACACATGCTTATAATTCTTCACAACATCTTCAAATATGAGCCTTTACTGTTAAATGCGATTGCCGTTATTATTGAATTTCATTAGTCCCAGTTATGATATATGCGCAGTTGTACACGGAAAAGCGAGCAAGACACGACAGTTACAATATCATGATTTTGGATAAGAAAAAATACATCTAACCACCATAACCGAATTAGGCTACAATTATATTCATATTAAATATCTCAAAACACATCATTAGATATGACATTAAGCACAACTTGTGTAGATTTATTTAGTAAAAAGGCTTGACTGCTTTATTTTGGCATATCTATTTGTATACTTTTACCAATTAATCAATCTCAGCATGCATTAATTTTGTGTCGCTAGACGTTTGCCTCACTAAGGCTAAATTATGCTTAAATAGAGCTCCTTCCTGCAAATCATCTCTATGAAGAAGTTCAGTCAGGTTTCAGGCCCCACCATAGCACAGAAACTGCACTTGTTAAAATTACTTATTATCACCAGTAAAATATGGAGTGCCACAATGATCTGTCCTAGGTCCTCTGCTATTTTCAATATAAATGTTGCCCCTTGGTAATATTATTAGAAAGTACGGGATTAGTTTCCACTGTTATGCTGATGATACTAAACTATATATCTCAACAAGACCAGATTAAACTTCTAAATTATCTAAGCTAACAGAGTGTGTTAAAAATGTAAAAGTAATAACAATAATTTTCTCCTATTAAATGTGGACAAGACAGAGATATTACTTATTGGACCAAAAAAGAGTACACAGAATCTCTTGGATTACAATTTGCAACTACATGGATGTACTGTTATTTCCTCTACAGTCAAAAATCTGGGTGTTATATTAGATAGCAACTTGTCTTTTGAAAATCATATTTCCCATGTTACAAAAACGTACTCGGTTACTAATGTAACCTCGGTTCCCTGAGATATGGGAATGAGTACTGCATTGCTAGACGCTACGGGAAACTCCTTTTCTCCAATTTACTGAAGCCTTTTTTTCAATCACAGCAGTGAATCTGCACTGCCATTGTTTCAGAAATGAATCAATGACGGCGCAGCAGAGCTGCGCGAGCCTATGGCGATGCAGCACGCCCGAGTCCGCCAAAACGGGCGGGGCATCTGGCTATATAAGCAGGTGTTCGGCATAGGATCACTGATTCATATCGACTGAAGCGACGACAGAGTCCTGCAGCATCATAGCATGGCTAGCTATGCAGTACTCGTTCCCGTATCTCAGGGAACCGAGGTTACGTTAGTAACCGAGTACATTCCCTTTCGATACTTAACTTCGTACTGCGTCGCTAGACGCTACGGGAACATATTCAATCACACCGTGCTATGGTAGATGAACGACTTATAAGTAATTGTCCAGGGCATCCAGAAGGGGGCCCTGTAGATCAACTACAATGAAGCAGGCTATAGCCAGAGACCCAGATTCTTTTCAGGGTCAAGAGGAGACAAAGAAATGGGCTAACTCATAGAGGTCGAGCCCGGCTTTACATAGTCGGTCTTAGAGCTTCGCACAGCCTCGGAACTAGATAGGGCCGAGAGCGTGCCAGAAGCTAAGCCCAGACGTGGGAACTTCAGCGGGTTCGAAACATAGTCAAACCCAGCAAGGATTAAATCCAGCCTTAGGGCGGGGATATGGTTCCTGGAGCGTTTTGAGCTCAGAGAGACAGAGAGTTACACAGAAAGGACCTGAGCCTGCAAAGCAGGGACGTCTAGGTTGTAGAACCTGACAAAGGTGGATGGCGAGGACCAGCCGGTCACCGCACAAATTTCTGCAATGGACACACCACTGGAACATGCCCAGGATGAAGCCATGCCTCTCGTGGAATGTGCTCTGACCAATAATTTGAAGGCCCAAGGAGGAGTATGCAAGAGCTATTGCGTCAACTATCCAATGGGATAGTCTTTGCTTTGAGTCAAATATAAGCGGTTCAAAGGGGGGGGCTTTGAGCGCCCTCAGAACCATAGACAGATCCCACGTAGGGACCATAGAAGGGCAAGGGGGGGTTCAACCTCCTAGACCCTTTCAAAAATCGAACAACGAGGTTGTTCCTGCCGACTTATATTCCGTCTATAGGAGCATGAAAAGCTGCTATAGCCGCCACATAGACCTTAAGAGTGGAGGGGGTGTGACCCTTATCCAACAGCTCTTGAAGGAAGGACAATATCGAAGATATGTCACATGTGGATGGATCTTCACCACGGTTTGTACACCAAGCGGTGAAAACCGACGATTTGAGGGCATAGAGGTGCCTTGTGGATGGGGCTCTAGCCTGAGAAATGGTATTTAAGACACCCTCTGGGAGGTTCATAGGCTCCCATCGAGAGGCCATAAGTGTAGGGCCCACAACTTGGGTTGGGGGTGCCATATTGTCATGTTCACCTGAGAGAGGAGGTCCCGTCTCAGGGGAATGGGCCATGGAGCTGCCGTGAGCAGCTGAGACATCTCTGAGAACCATAGTTGGTTTCTATTACATCAGGTAAGCAAGATTATTTATTTTCTCATGTAACACAAGCAATCAAACCAACATTAGGCATTCTAAGTTGGTGCTTTGAAGAAAAACAGACATGCAGTGCAACATGATAATTAACAGAAAAAAAGATGAGAACGCGCTTCCTGTAAACAACACAAAACTTTTGCCTAGCATCTTGTGATCACTCTGCCAGGCTTTTGAACAAATGTGCATTGGCTAAATCACATCATACACATGCTTATAATTCTTCATAACTGAAAAGAACATTCAACTATAAGCCTTTACTGTTAAATGTGACTGCCGTTATTATTGAATTTCATTAGTCCCAGTTTTGATTGATGCACGGCTGTTCATGGAAAAGTGAGCAAGACACCACAGTTACAATATCATTATTATGGTTTAATAAGAAAAGACATATAACCAAATCAGGCTACATTTATTTTCATACTAAATATCTCAACACACATCATTGGACATTAAGCGCGACTTGTGTAGATTCATTTAGTAAAAAAAGGCTTGCTTGCTTTCTTTGGTGTATATTTGTATACTTTTTAAAATGCGTTCACAAAATTATAACTAAACTAAAACTAACAAAAATATGAATGAAACTTATAAAAACTAAACTGAATTTTATAGCAAATTTGAAAACGATATTAAAATAAAACAAATTTTAAAATTCAAAACTATAATAACCTTGGTAGGAAGGACTGTAAGGCCTGCCATACTGCCAGCATTTCCTGGCAGTTGATGTGCAGCTTTGTCTCTTCGCTCGACCACGCGCCAAAGGCTGGTCTGCCGTCGCACAGGGCTCCCCAGCCCATGTTTGACGCATCTGTGAAGATGACCTGCCTTTTGTGCATCATCCCCAGGGGTATGCCCTGTTTGAAGCATGAAGGGTCCTTCCAAGGGGCAAGGGCTGCAATGCAGGCTTGATCCACCTTGATACGAAGGCGTCCGTGATGCCAAGCTCGGGATGAAACCAGGGGTTTTAGCCAGTGTTGAAGAGGCCGCATGCGAAGGAGGCCTAACTGCAGTACTGGAGATGCAGAGGCCATAAGGCCCAGCATCCTCTGAAACATTCTGAGAGGAAGGGACGTGCCAATCGTGAAGGCGGTCGTCAGCCGCTGTATAGCCAGGACACGTTCAGGCGAGGCTACAGCTCTCATTTTGGTTGAGTTGAAGACAGCCCCCTGAAATGAGATTCGTTGGCTTTTGGCGTAATTGACCCTGAGTCCCAAGCACTCTAAGTGGTTAAGGAGGGAGGATCTGTGGGCTATCAGCTCGGCCTCTGACTGGGCTAATCGGGGTCCCTGGCGCTTCGGGAAAGGGTGGTGCTTTGCAGAGAGCGGAGGTGGCGAGATGATCTTGCTGCTGCAGAACGGCGGCTGGATCAGCTTGCAGGCGAAGGCTTCAAATCTCGTAGAATCAGCAAAGAGCAGTAGATGTCGTCGCTGAAGGAGAAAGAATCAGTGATCCTATGCGAAGCACCTGCTTACATAGCCAGATGCCCCACCCATTTTGGCAGGCTCGGGCGTGCTGCTTCGCCATAGGCTCGCGCAGCTTCTGAAGCAATGGCAGTGCAGATGCACTGCTGTGACTGAAAAAAAGGCATCAGTAAATCAGAGAAAAGGAGTTTCCCGTAGCGTCTTGTTTGGAAGAGGAAATTTGCTCTCTTTTGGAGTATGTTTGTGTTTTATTTCGTCCGCTATCACAGCGGTTGTACACTTGGGCGCTATAACGGGCCCTTTGCATGCAATAAACACACACCTTTTCCAAGCACCCGGAACTGGACGGGGCGACCACCCATTTTGGCAGGCTCGGGCGTGCTGCTTCGCCATAGGCTCGCGCAGCTTCTGAAGCAATGGCAGTGCAGATGCACTGCTGTGACTGAAAAAAAGGCATCAGTAAATCAGAGAAAAGGAGTTTCCCGTAGCGTCTAGCGATGCAGTACGAAGTGAAGTATCAAAAGGGAACAGCATTCTTCCATCTTAGAAACATTTCCAAGCTACGAAACATGTTACCTGTTTCTGATGCAGAAAAGCTAGTTCATGCATTCATGACCGCTAGACTGGACTATTGTAATGCACTGATAGGTGGTTGTCCTGCATCTTCAATAAACAAGCTACAGGTAGTCCAAAATTTGTCCAAAATGCAGAAGATAGAGTCCTTACCAGGTGAAGAAAATATGATCATATTACCCCAATTTTACAGTCTCTGCACTGGCTACCTATTAAGTTCCATATCAGTTACAAAATATTATTACTTACCAATAAGGCCCTTAATGGGTTAGCTTCTGCATACCTAACTAGTCTTCTACCATGCTGCAATCCATCACGCTCCCTAAGGTCGCAAATCTCTGGACTTTTGTTAGTACCTAGGATAGCAAAGTCCACTAAAGGAGGTAGAGCTTTTCCGCATTTGGCTCTACGGGATTGACATCCTGTGGTAAATAGGATTTACACATGCTTCAGTCTGGATCCAGAACACCTGAGAAGAGATGATGCCAACCCCTTAGAGGACCTCAGATGATGCCAACCATGAAACAACACCCATAACTACCAATTTTATAAGTTTGATTAAATCATTTAATAATTGCTGTTAATAATGTTCATCGTCTGTTTGATTACGTCTTTAATTGATTTTTCCGTACATTTCCGCCATATGTACATTAACTGACAGTCAGCACTGATAAGCTACTACTAAATATTGTAGAAACCTAATTTGTTGTAAAGTTTGTATCGTGAAAAGCGATATACAAATAAACTTGAATTGAACTGAATTGAATTAAAGTCAGTCTTTGGCCTGCGATCTGGAAGTGGTCTGTTAATTCTGCTAAACTTTCATTAAAACTGAAATTAAACTATATAAAAACTAAATAAAAATGTGTTCACAAAATAAAAACTAAACTCAAACTAACAACAATATTAATGAAACTAATAAAAACTAAACATTTTATAGATAGATTAGATAGATAGATAGATAGATAGATAGATAGATATAATTAAGTGTTATGTATGTGTGTTTGAGTAAAGGTTAATGGTTTAATGTTCAGTTATTCTGGAAATTTAGGAGACTTTCTGTTATACTGGAGTTTTTCAGGTTACTATTTTGCTGAAGTGTGGAGCTTGTGCTTAGGGTGTAGGTGGCTTTTTTTTTTGCTCTAATGTCAGAGCAGTCTAAAATCACTTCCTACATGTTCATTATATTCATTGCATTCAATTTTTACTATGCAAGAACTTCAGTTAAGTTTGTTACTTTATTTGTTTAAATTGACTTTTGTTCGAATTAGTCTTTTTTTAATGAGATTAATTAAATATTATACATTCACATTCATTTAACTTATTTCTTATACTTGTTGATAATAGAAATGAGCTTACATGCATTTCTGCTCTGAAGTGACTAATGGGGTACTTGGGACTTAATGACGAAAAGGCTAGAAAGCCTCTGAACTTTATATCCATTAATTTTTACCTAATATATATCTAAATAGCCATGATATATACTGTATAGATGACTGTTTTACATATGATGGAAAAATTTGATATATTTTTGCACTAGAGAGCAAGAGACAAAGAAATAATAAACTTGTCCTGTATCTGT